TTCATCCTATCGCCCGGTGTTTATCACTTGAATGCCATTGAATGGGCCGCCAGTGCTATCGAAATGAGTCTAATCGGCGGTAAAAATGCGGCCCTTTTAGCCTATAATCAATTGGGCGGCAAAACAGACGACGATAACACCTATACTCAAAACACTGCAAATAATCAGATAACTGACGAATTATAGCAATGTTTGCCAAACAATGTCTAAAACTGTGTTTAAAATTAATTGAACCAAATTATGAGATCACAATCACAACACTCTTCATAGCCCACCGACATATCGCTCAAATTATTTACTAACGTTGTGTCAATTGTTACCAATGTTTTTGTTTGTTAATTAAATTGCAATCAAATTTTGATTACCTTAATAATAATTGTTTAATATTTTAAATATTTAAATAAAATATACAGTAAAATATAGTAATTAATGAAATTAATAGATTTCCTTTTCGACATTATAAGCCTTCATATCGTCCCTAAGAGTCGCCAAATCGTCTTTACGGCGCCGAATGAACGCACAGTTGTCTCCTTTGATGTCTTTCTTGGCTTTGCGTGTCTTCGCTCTCTTATCGGTTCTGTTTCTCTCTTTTCGGAGCTTTTCTTTGATCTCTTGAGGTGTGAAAGTCGTGGCCACAGAAGTCGCTCCACCGAAGCTGCCATTCGACTCATTGTCTTCGTTACTATCGCTTAAATTATTCGTATTTGTCGTCTCTTTTATATCTAATTTATCGATATTTTCTGTCAATTGTTTTTCGGTATCGTTTTGGTTGTCCTCTGATATATCGGTCAGTATTTCATTAACTTTTGGTTCACTTAATACTTCATTATCTTCTTTTACAACCTCTTCATCTTCTTCTTCCTCGTCTTCATCACTGGTCTCTTCTTCATCTAAAAGACTCAATTCATTCAATTTGTCGACATTTTCCTTCTCTATGGCCTCAAAGCCGGGAATAAAATCCGATTCATAAGCGAATCGTTTGGCAAAGAAGTCGACAATGCATTTGACGTCGCGATCGAAGTAAATCTGAGCCATAGTATGAGATATTGATATCATTTGCGGAAAGTCTATCAAAACCGGTTCCGAAGACTCGTGTTTAACAATAATATTAAATTCATTGAAATCGCCGTGAATTACACCGAAATCATTGGCCAATCGTATGATCAGATTCATGAGTTTGTCGTACAGCGCGGGAACTTCTGTCTCACTCTGGAAGTGATCTCTGGACACGTGATTCAGAAGAACGCCATCAATGAGTTCCATTACAATGCAGTGACGATTGGATTCAATGGGTTCGGGAATCGACACGTGATTATCGTAAAGAAGTTTCATGAAAGCGAACTCGCGTTTGGCGGCCAGTCGTGACAAATAGATCCAATTGGTTTTGCGACCGTTGCGCTGATAGTCACGTTTGGTGGACACCGTCCGGAAACACGTGCGGCCCAAGCGGTGCATCTTCACGGCGCGGGTCCTGTCCTCGCGATCGGTGGCCACATAGACGTCGCTCTCTTTGCCGACACCGATCTGATTGCCGATTCCGGCGATCACTTCCCGATTGCTTAAGACGTTGAGTGCGAGAAAGTCGTAGCCCTTGTATGTGAGGTGATAGCCATCAAAACGCTTCCCTCTCTCGTATGAAATCAACTTATTTTGTGTCAATTTGAGCAACACTTTGGACAGACCGCCGCTCCGGAGGGATGAGATGGAGATAATGAGCGACTTCGGGACCAACTCGTGATTCTTCATTCCCATCTCAACCGATGTCAACACTCGGAGCTCATCCGCACTCATATACCGGATCAGACTTACGTCCAGTTTGACCATAATGTCTGGTTATGTCGATTATTAACACGTGATGTCCAAATTGTGGGATCAATTGGCGGATCCAATGCTAACACTCTTTGATTAACACGTGTTTTGTGTGTAAATAAACACAAAACCACTGCTTGTCTCACAACGTGTTGAAAGGGATTGTATTGTAATTGCATTTCCGCTTCAATTGTATTGTTTTTGATTGCAATTTGTGTTACAATTAAATACTTTTAATTAATTAATGACTCATTTGTTTGTATTTAAGAAACTATTTATTATGAATAAAATGTTTGGTTTTGATTAAAACGTGTCAACCATTACGTGAGACCGAGTGATGAAAGACAACGAGTTTTAGTGACCAAAGTATCCCTAAATGTAATGAAAGACTTGTTTTGTGTCACAAAAAAGTCACAAATATTTTCCGTCTTTGAAGACAATACGCGAAGATAACCATCGGATCCATCGTTTCGCTCATCACTGATATTCGGTAAGTGTTGACCACTTGTGGGCCAAACTAATTGACATATGAATCGCCCGCAGAGTTCATCCCAAACTGATTGCTCAACACTGAGAGACAATGGCAGAGGTCTGTAGCCGTCAGTTCAGTCTTCGGCATCTGAAACACGAGACAAAAGTGAACCAAAGTTTGTATGCAATGCTTGTGGACGAGAGTCTTGTGGACGTAATCGTGTCCACCGATGGCACTAATATACGCGCCCATCGGCTCATACTGTCGGCCAACTCGTCGTACTTCAAGACACTCTTCGACTCTCTTGAGGCCAATCGATGTCAGATACCGATCGTTATACTCAAAGACGTGCCTCTCGTGGACCTGAAGGCCATCATTGAGTTCATGTATAGGGGAGAGGTCTGTGTCGAGGAGAGACACTTGTCGTCAGTTCTCAAGAGCGCCGAACTCTTGAAAGTGAATGGTTTGACTGAAGTGTGTCTCGCGTTGAGGTCGCGGCTGAACAGCGAGCGGTTGGCCAACACCTCCGCCGCCGGAAATGACGGCAACTCGAGTTCGGCATCGGATCAGACCATTCTTCGTAAGAGACCGCGTATTAGCGATGATCTCAAACAAACGCCGCAAACCACAGACCTGTTCTCGAGGCTCAGTAACGCACGGTTTGAGATCAGACCATCCGCTTTTCGGCATCGGATCAGACCATTCTTCGTAAGAGACCGCGTATTAGCGATGATCTCAAACAAACGCCGCAAACCACAGACCTGTTCTCGAGGCTCAGTAACGCACGGTTTGAGATCAGACCATCCGCTTTGTCGCCCAATAATAGCCGACCGAAGGCTTCTTCTTCGGGACAATCAGTTGTGAAGAATATTGTCATTCCTTCGAATCAAATTCATAATAAGAAAGCCTCGCCTGAAGTGCAATCAATGGTCAATCGTATGTCGAGTCCTTCGAGTTCTTCGACGAGCGCTGTGTCCGCAACGCATAATTCCCGTCAAAACAGTCCAAACCATTCGTTTCGGAGTCCCATTAAGAAGACAAATACGCCAAACAATGGGACACCCGATCGTGTCTTGACGTCGACGTGGACTCCATCGCAATCATCGTTGTCTCAGAGCGTCAATAATGAATTGTCGTCCAACTGTTCCCTAAATGTCAACTCATTTGTTGAGGTCTTGTTAGACGACGAGACGCCCGAACAGACCGACGATGAGATTGATATAAAGCCACCGATTTTTGAGCTCAACCAAAGACTGGCCGAACAAATGGCCGCCGATTCCCGTCGTTCCGATGATCCGTCTCCTCGCAAAGACCGCGAACCGGACCTTAAAAGCACAGACAAACCAAAGCCTTCACCCCCTAAGACAACAGCAACTGCCAGAACCGTTGCGAAGGCGGGTCGACCACCGCCTCCGCCGCCGCAATCATCTGTCAAATCGCGGAGTTCTTCGAC